GATTCACAGACTACCTGACTGAAAAGAGGGATGGAATAATTATTTCCGGCATGAGAAAGCTTAAATTCATTCGGCTCACAGTATAGTACTATCAAATAAACTTATAGTTTAAAATTGTTCTAAATGTTGGGGTGCCTGGGTAGCTCAGTCGGTTAAGCAGCGGACTTTGACTCAGGTCATGATCTCGCAGTTTGTGAGATCGAGTCCCATGTCAGGTGCTGTGCTGACAGCTCAGAGCCTGGAGCCTGCTTCAGATTCTGTGTCTCCTTTCTCTGCTCCTCCCCTACTCTCACGCTGTCTCTTTCTCTCGAAAATAAGATAAACATAAATAAATAAATAAATAAATAAATAAATAAGTTGTTCTAAATGCTTAGTAAAAGAAACTTTGTTTCTCTTGTCTAATTTTAATCTCAAAGTCCCTAAAGTATTTCTTTTCTTATAGGCAACTTCATTTGTCTGTGATTGACTCCCCAGGACTCTAGGGGAAGTAATTTCCCAAATGTTGATTTTTCTCACCAGCAAAATAAGAGGGGTATCCAGTCTATTGGCTAGCAACCATAAAGGTGAGAAAGAATAAAACTGTAAACTGTCCAATTTTATAAGAAAATTGTCTTTGACCTTACTTGTCCACAACTTAATCACAAAATCAGTAATTTACCAAGTCAGTTGAAAAATGAGTAAAATTAAACTGGAGAGAAACACAATTGACAGAGGTCAAGAATGCATGGCCCAGAACGGTGGGAAAGAAATTACAGCTGAATTGCAGTAGAGGTACCGGGGCTTCCGGGAGTGTGGGCAGAAAACCAACTGTGGATAAAATATATTTGGGAGTAAAAAGGGAAACTGGAAAATAGTAGAAATGCTTAAAAATCTACCTGTGGCTTAATGAACTCTCCTTCCATCAGTCTCTTTAAGATCACAGTTGTTTCTGAAACTAAAATTCAGATCCTCTTACCTGCATTTTAAGTTTTCCAGAGCTTTTATCACTGTGCCTGGAAGAGCAGGAAGGGATATAAAAAAAGAAAGCAAGAAAAAGATGCTATCATACAGGAAATCAAAACAAATCAATTTTTTGATGGCATCTGCTACTTTCTTTTTAATGGCACAAGAGTAACAACAGTGACTTTATACTTCATGACTTCGTATGATGACAAGCATCTTCAGGAAATTAACCATATTACCCACTATAATTAGCTCTCTTGCAAGGTTAAATAATATAAAATTGAAAATTACTGGGTGATTACACTACAATCACACCAATTCTAAGTTTCTTAATGAACAAACTACATGGAAACGGAAAACAAATGACAACAGAAGCAATGGGTCAAAATGGGTCTTTTTTGGGGGGGGATGGGGAGACTAGAGGACTAAATCTGCTACAAACACGAACACTGATTAATAGCAGGTTATGAGAAGTATAAATCTGAAGTTTCAGCTGGGAATTGCTATTATATTACAAATACGTATATCCACTGCACAGTACATGCCTTGCAGCAAAGTTAATTGCAGGAAATTTCACAAGTAACTCCCTGCTCCTTACTATATTATATGGTAGAGGTGTTGAGACAAGTTTTGGTTGCCAGGCTAAGCCTTTTGGTTTTCAGCTGAATATCTGTATTAACATGCCAACTTTCTCCGACTAGTTGTTTTATGTTAAATTAGGGTTTTTGTCCTTTCAACTAAGATTCTCTCAAGAATCACAGCAGGAAACTGAATGACTCCAAATTTACCAATTACTGACTAACCTGCAATGCCAGAGTCTTTAGCAGTTTGTAATAAATACGCAGTTTTGATTTCAGGATCAGGTAAGTCTAAAAGAAATTTCAGGGTCATCGGTGCCACCCATTTCTATGTACTTTTATATAAACTGTAATTACCTGTTCCTAAAACTTCCCATGAAAGAAATGTTGAATTTTCTTGAGGAACAGTTTGGGTTTGAGCAAAATGTCAAAACACTTCTCCCACGCTGCGTATATACTTTTGAACACACTCTGCTAATACTGCACTTACCTACAGTGTTAGTGTTGTCCATGTTCATGTGATAGAGAACACTTACTGATAACTTACACACATGTAAGAGGGAAATAAAAGTTCACTTTGACCAATGTGATTTAACCCTTGTTACTTATTAAGTGCTTTACAAAGTAATGCTTTACTAGCATTCCAAATAAATCTTAAGTCACGCTGGGCTTCTGCTTCCAAGTCTGTTCTGAACTCCATATGCGCGCTGGTAGGAAAGTAAAATGGTACAACCACTTTGGAAAACAGTCTGTCGGTTCCTCAAACGGCTGCCCAGAGTTAGCGTGTCACTCAGCAGTTCTAGTCCCAGGTACACACCCACGCAAAATGAAGACCCATGTCCACACAGAGACGTGTGCACAAACATTTATACAGGCATTATTCAAAGCAGCCGAATGGTAGAAACAACCCAAATGTCCACCGTCTGAGAAAAGGATAAAAATGCGATAGCTGTACAACAGAATAGTATCTGGCCACGAAAGGTATAAAGTACTGACTCCTGCTACAACATGGGTGAATCCTGAAAACATTATGTGAACTCAAAAATGCCAGTCGCAAAAGACAACACATTATCTATTCCACTATAAAAATTCCAGAATAGGCAAATCTGTAGAGACAAAAAGTAGATCAGTCACCGCCTAGGGCTCAGGGAGGAAGGTTAGAGGGATGAGGGGGGTTAGGTGAAGGTACAGAGTCTGGGTTATTTTTTAAGGTGAAGAAAATCTTCTATGACAAAAAGGTGGTGATGGCTGTACATCACTGTGATTTTGCTTAAAAACTATCAAATTACATGCGTTAAATGGGTGGGTGTCGGGTCTATGAATTATAATTCAATAAGCTATTTTGAGATGTGAAGTACTTGAGAATCAGCAAATCTCCTCCACAAAGATTTTCTGCTTAACAGTAAAAGAATTAGTTGAAGTCCAATTTACTTTAGTGTAATTGGAACCAGCTCATAGTGTTTTGTTATGTACATTTCTAAAATGTGAATGCAGTTTAAGAAAATACATCATTACATCAGCTATTCCAGGCAGGCTGCCACGAGACATTTTTACAAAAAAAAAAAAAAAAAAAAAAAATCTTAAAAGGAATCCATTTAACCAACCTCAGCGTGTATGTTCTTTCTTGTTGCCTCATCTCCTTATAAGCCGTTGTATCCCTAAAATTCTCATGTTTAACAGTACTAGGCATGATTAATTCAGTCAATAATTCAACAAGTATTTGAACCCTTATCATACACCATGTGCTGTTTTAAGCAATTATATACCTGTGTGTACACACACACGTGCGCGCGCGCGCACACACACACACCACCCCTGCTCTTGTGGAGCTTACAATCTAATAAGACTAGATAAACAGTAAATAACTGCTGGCTTCAAAGACAGGTTTTTAAAACAGAGTGCTCTGCTTTGTTTTAGATGGAATAGCTAGGAAAGGAGGCTTCTCTGAGAGACATAGGAGGTGAGAAAAGAAGGTGTCAGCCAAACAAAGACCAGGAAGGGTAACTTCAGGCAAGGAAAAGGTTCTTGAATGGCAGAATCAGGAGGAGAAAAACAACACGAAGGAAGGATTCACTGTGTGCTGCTGGTGCCCAGCTTCTCCCTGTTGGCCTCATGCCCCATCCCTGTACTGGGAGGTCTGGCAAAGTAGTTTGCAGACCGTGGCTGGAATAAGAGGTCTCCTAATTCTTCGGTAAGAAAAGGCCCCTCTGGGGACGTCTGGGTGGCTCAGTTGGTTAAGCGGCCAACTTTAGCTCAGGTCATGATCTTGTGGTTGGTGAGTTCAAGCCTCTCGTTGGACTCCGTGCTGACAGCTCAGAGCCTGGAGCCTGCTTCCAATTCTGTGTCTCCCTTTCTCTCTGCCCCTTCCCTGCTAACGCTCTGTCCCTCTGTCTCTCAAAGATAAATAAACATTAATAAACAAAACAAAACACGGGTATATTTCTAAAAGAAAAAGACAAAAAAAAAAAAAAAAAAAAAAAAAAAAGAAAGGCCCCCTCTGGTCAAGTCCTGCCTCAAGGGACTTTCTTAAACCTCTTGGGGATGGTCTGTTGCCTGCTCCACTCACTCCTTCACCGCACATGGGTCCAAGGCACGGTGCTTGGGAATGGTGGGACACAGATACCAGTCAGAAATGCACCCCAGCGACCCCTGTGGCAGGAAACAATCTAGTGGCATAAAAACGTGGGCATGAACACCACGCACAGGTAAAAAGTAGAAGTGGGCCACAAGAAGCGCTTTGGAGTGTGGGGGTGAGCAGAGGTCACCTGCAGGTGGAGCACCAGGGGAAGCCTTGTGGGGGGGCGGGGCACGACAGCCCAGACGCCTGTGACGCCTGAGAACTTGGGCATGTGGGATGGAATACAGACTGATCTGGTGTATTCCTAATTAACTTTACATAGATTTCCAAATATTTTTTGCTCCCCAACCAAGTTTCAAGCTCAGGCAGAAAAGGCCCGATATTCCTGACATCTCTTTGTGATGCTGAGCACTGTGCTGCTAAAGCTATGCAATTCATGGGTTGGTTCACTGTAAGAGAGGAGATGTTGATTTCAGCACCGAGGCAAGGCTTCAGAATGAGGTTTGGGCCTTCAAAACAGAGGACTCTCCAAACCTGTTAATACACTACCTCACTTCACAGGGACATTCCTAGGAGTTTTTCCTAAACTCCAAGGTTTTACAGGAAAACGTGTATACAGTGTGCTTCTGAACACAAACACGTTTACATGTTTACCTGTATGTCTGCATATGTACATCACTATACCTTAAGTTCCAAATCTCACAAGATTATTTACACTCTCATTGCTAAATCAAAGTTTGTGTTTGAGAGAAAATAACTTTTTCACTGATCAAACATTCCCATCCAGGCCCTCTTAATCCCTTCCCATTCCCAACAAAACATCTTAAACCAAAGAAAAGCCAAAAAACATTTTTTAGGCAGTGTCTCAACATCTCTAAAAAGTATTCCATGGCCAAACTCACCATAGAGAGCTGTCCAAGTTTGATTAATTACATCTAGACACACAGTTCCTGACCTGAAACAGATGGAAAGAATGGCATTTTTTAAAAAATTAGAAAGCTAGTTGCATGAACCTGGCAGCTAATTTTTATTTATCAAGAATAGAACTTAAGAAAGAAAGAAAGAAAGAAAGAAAGAAAGAAAGAAAGAAAGAAAGAAAGAAAGAAAGAAAGAAAGAGAAGGAAGGAAGGAAGAAAGAGAAGGAAGGAAGGAAGAGGAAGAAAGGAGGGAGGGAGGGAGGAAAAAAAATCCCAACTAGGGAAAGTATGAAGAACAGCAAATACATGCAAAGTCTTAGTGCTTCCTTAGAGACTAAAAGGAGAAGTCAGCAACTATACAATGGAGAAATCAGACAACACGGTCCCCAGGTATTAGAATTAACACTGGCAACCAGGGGTGGACAAACCTGTGTGTCTCCCCAGCACCCTGAGGACACAATGACATTTGTGGTTTTCTGGTCTCAAGTGCATATTCTGAATCTAATGACGAGGAAACGTAAGAAAACCCCAAATTGAGGGAGGGATGGTCTTTAAAATAACTGATCTATATTCTTTTAAAAATGTCAACTTTATAAAAGCCAAGTGACTATTCCCGATTAAGGTAGTTTAAAGAAATGTTGACAAGTAACTGCAATACATGATCCTGGACTGGATCTTTCATGGGGGGAGAGGGGTGCCAAAAAGGTACACTGCTGGTACGTGGCAGATTAAAAGAAAGGGTAAGTTAAGATTCATTAACTGAAATGAAACCATGGTCATTCATGTTTGCTTTACTCTTAAGAAGTAAGAAACACTTTATGGGCTGAAAATAGTAAATCTGTATAAGGAAGACAGATCTTTGACTTGTGTCTATGCAAAGAGAACAGAAATGTGGACTATTACACATGCTTGCTGGGTGTCAGGGGGAATAAAGGATCTGATCGTGGCAATGGAAAAACTAAGCAGCCCAACAGCAGAATGTCAACTAAGTGGTTTAGAATATCATATCCCTGAGAGCCTCTACAGCTTAAGTGACCATACAGTCCTCTCTGTTGATAAAGATAATTGAGACTTTTTTTTTAAGTAATGGGGAGAGAGAGAGAGAGAGAGAGAGAGAGAGAGAGAGAGATGAGCGCTAATAACAGCAGTTGCTGCTAAGATTTAAACATTTTTAAACAGTTACTTACGCTTCATCAATGTTGGGATGGAAAATTTTATTCATGAATCCTGTAAAAAGAGATGTTAATTAGCAGCAAAAAGTACCCAGAGAACAATTTGTTTTAAAGTGTTTCAGTACGGGAAACAACTTCATTATTAGAAAAAGGTGAAAATATCTAGAACTCATTACTTTAATCTTAAATGTTTGGTTACTGATAAGACTATATGATGTCCTGACAGTGTCAATTACATAAAACACAGGGTTCTATCAGAGTTCTATTAAAGAAATGAGCAAACTTTGAAAGCAATGCAGCTTCTTATACAAAATAATCATTAAAAGAAATTGTTTTCTGAGCTATGAAGGTACTTGCCAAGAAAATTTGTAGTACTAAATGGGTTATACCTAGTACCGATTAGTTTTCTCAGCAAGTTAAGAAAGCTACACCCTAACTTCCCTCCCGAGTTTTATTGTTCAGTCTCTAAATTTGGAGGTTCTGCATTTAAACTTCTCCTTCTGAAGCTCAGTTACTGGTATCATACCACTACACTGTGTGCGGAACATGAATGAAGCTGTTGAAACACTAAAGGAGTGCTGCTTCCAAACCACAAAGGGTTTCATAACAGTGACCAAAATATTTAACTTTAGTCTACTACTCATTCCAGGAAACCCAGTTTTGATTAAAATTGGGGCAACCAAGAAATGAGGCAAGGAGTTAAAAAAGAAAAATCTGTAAGATGGCTATATCTTTCAGGGATTCGGGTTTTTTGATTTATTCCTAGAAGAACAAGTAGAGACTTTAACAAAGCCAAATAGAGACTTACAAAGATTTTATTTTTAAGCAATCTCCACACCCAACGTGGTGCTTGAACTCACAACCCTGAGATCAGGAGTCGCGAGTGTTCCTGACTGAGCCAGCCAGGCACCCCTAGACTTTAACATATATATTGACATTTAAATTCCAAGGAGAAATTAGTTTTTACTCTAATTAAAACCAGTGATTCAATCAGTCTGTGTACATGCAAAAGACAATATGTGAAAGCAGAGGTCCACTGTCAAGGCTGTTGTTTTATCATCCACATGATCTCATTTCAAGACCTTAGTTTGTTCCCTATTTTCAATAAATTGAAGTCCCCTACTAAAGTGACTATCAGTGTGCCCCTCTCAATCCCACCTTCCCTCACCCCCACCTCACATGTCTCTCTTTCCTTCATTCAAGATAGATTTGGTCAACACCTATGTATCAGGCATTGTGCTTGTTCAGGGTACGAGATAAGTAAGGGAGGATACTATTCTCCAGGAGGTCCGTGCAGCAGTGAGACAAGACACAAGGAAGTAAGTGCAATATGCACAAAGAATGGACACGGCTGGAAGTGTGGGGAGGGAAAGAAGAAGACAGCAGGAGAGATGCAGAGAAGGGGCATCAGAGGAGGGTCCTCAAGGATCAGTTCCAACACAGGTCGTTTCCTGGGAAAATCTAAGAACCTTCTCTGGACTTAGAAAATGGGGTTAGTAATACAAAATTCCAGGTATTCCACAGTCTTCACTTGCTCTCGTGGCTCCAATACTAACTACGCTTCTACTTTTTAAAAAAATTTTTTGTGTTGAAATGGCTTCATGTTTTTACTGCTGTCAAGAGAGCCCAAGCCGTGTTTAAATTACTCTAATGTAAAAAGAAATGCCTTGTGTCCAATGAATATTTCATATTAATTTTTCATTAAGGAAATAAGATGCTTCCAAGTCTAGATTTAAGAACTATGTGTTTATTGAAGAGATTAAACTAAGCCAATACAAATGTTCATGTCTTAATGTTAAGAGCATAAAAATTCTGTATGACCCTAGAAAAACACTAATTAATGTGTTCAAGAAGACCCATGAGGATATTCATTGCAGCATTATATATAAAAGCCAAAAACCTAATGCAATCCTATCAAAAGGGACTGGAGGAACTGTAGTATAATATCCGCATGTTGGAAGTCCGATAAAGCCAAGGTAATGAACTAGATTAGATCAGTAACTATCAACTTGGATAGACCCAACACTGAGGAGAGGGGGGGAAAAAAGCCATATAATATTTATAGCATGAAACCATTTAGATGGACTAAAACAAAGCAAAACTACATTATCTCTATGGTAACAAGTATAGAAAACTGTACTGGACCAACATATATACCATACTTAACAGCACTTAATTCTCTGCAGTGGGAATATTTTCTCCATTACACTTTTCAAATTACATCGCTGCCCACCCCCCATCTTGTACCAGAAGTGGGATCACCGCAATGTAAAAAACAGTAGTCAACTTTGAGACTCCCACATTATTTCTACTACTCTTTTGAATTTCCAAAATTTCTACATGGTGTCATTTTTAAAAATGCTTTTATTTATTTCTGAGAGAGAGAGAGAGAGACCGCATGAGCAGGGGAGGGTCAGAGAGGGAGGGAGGTACAGAATCTGAGCTAGCTGTCGGCACAGAGCCCGACACAGGGCTCAAACCCATGAACCATGAGATCATGACCTGAGCCAAAGTCAGATGCTTAACTGACTGAGCCACCCAGGTGCCCCTACATTGTGTCATTTTAATAATTGAAAACAAACCTTAATAATTGAAAAAAAAGTTAAAAAATTGTAAATGAAATCAACTATTTCATTTTCTCTCAAATATTAAGTTTTAAATATTAAATATTACAAGTTCATTACCAAAAAAGTAAAAAGATCTTCAGATTATAAGACACATGGTCCTCAAGATTAGTTCTATACAGGAAATATACCGCTATCACAACTGCCAAGAAACTTTCTGATGAGTGGGAAACGATATTTAGCCAATAGATGGTTTAATTCAAGAGACTTGTTCTATTATGTGAAAAGTATTTTGGCTTGAAGCTACACTTAAGAACTTACAATCCATTCTTGATGCTGAAAATCCTACTTCTACTAGATGTTTCCTAAGTAACACCCCATGAAGCAACATGTATGGCAGAGGTCGCCAGTGCTATGAGAGCACTTTAAAAACACAAGAGTGGGGCACCTGGGTGGCTCGTGGGTTGAGCGTCCAACTTCAGCTCAGGTCATGATCTCACGGTCCCTGAGTTCGAGTCCCCCGTTGGGCTCTGTGCTGACAGCTCAGAGCCTCTAGCCTGCTTCAGGTTCTGTGTCTCCCTCTCCCTGCCCCTCCCCCACTCATGCTCTGTCTCTCCCTATCTCTCAAAGATAAATAAGTATTAAAAAAACAACAAACCAGAAGCGCTATGCTAGAAAGTAGCAAGTGTTGTGGAGGAAAAACAGCAGAGAAAAGGACTCGGGATAGGAATGCTCGGGTGGAGGCTGCAGTTTTAAATGGGATCATCAGGGAGGGCCTTATGTTGAAGCTGACAATTGGAAGGAGCGAAGGAGGTAAGGGAGGAATCATTCAGTATCTAGGGGAAGACCGTTTATATAAGACTGACAGCCAAGTGCAAAATGCATTAGGAGTTCGCCTGATGTGTTAGGAGACCAGCAAAGGGACTGGTGAGGCTGAAGCGTGATGAAAAAGGAGAAGCCTGAAGTAAGGACAGAGAGGTGATGAGCATTTGTGCGCCATTTTAAGGATGTTGATCTCCATTCTGAGTGAGTTGGGAAGCCAGAGACTATGCTCGAACGGTGTTACATACAATCCCTCTTTAAGATTTTTTATTGGTTTTTAACATAAGCCTTAGCTCCTTAAAAAAAAAAAAGCTAATAAGGAAAGAGCTCAGTCCGGACACAGCACCAGCACCTTAGTCCTGGGGACAGAACAAAGGTCTTGAGCAAAGTGAGTGTGCTGTGTTCTGCTTTAGAAAGTTTCCTATGTTTATAATTTTTTAACTTGAAAGTTAAATAATTTTTCAATCATTAAAATTACACAGTGCAGAAATCTTGGAAATTCGGAAGAATGAGAATGGAATTTCCAACTATCTGATGTCACAGGGAACCTCAAAGGTGTAAGCTGAGAAAACAGCTAGAGTCAAGAGAGATTTAAATGTTTACTAAAATGGTCTCTCAAAGATTAAAGTGCCTCCCTTCTGGTACAAGGCCCGGAGATTCCATTTGGAATCAATATAGTTTCCACACTGTTTTCAATTAAGTCGAAATTTTGGCTTGGTTGAATCCAAGAGTACATAACAGGGAGGGCCAAAAAGTACTCAGTAAACATACTCTTAGTAATAAATGGATTCGGGGTGCCTTGGTGGTTCCATCAGTGAAGTGTCCAATTTTGGCTCAGGTCATGATCTCACAGTTGGTGAGTTCGAGGCCCATATTGGGCTCTCTGCTATCAGCACAGAGCTTTGGATCCTCTGTCCACCCCACTCATGCTCACACGTACACTCGCTCTCACTCTCTCAAAAATAGAGCGAGAAAGAAAGAAAAGAAAGAAAGGAAAGAAAGGAAAGAAAAGAAAGACAAGAAAGAAAGAAAAGAAAAGAAAGAAAGAAAGAAAGAAAGAAAGAAAGAAAGAAAGAAAGAAAGAAAGAAAGAAAGAAAAGAAAAGAAAGAAAAGAGAAGAAAAGAAAAGAGAAAAGAAAAGAAAAGAAAAGAAAAGAGAAATGAGTTGGAGTCCAGACCCCAGTGCCCCTGATAAGTATAAAACATCATCTGAGCTCAGAGACAGAGGGCAAAATCAGACTGGAAAGAGAGAAGTATTAACAGGGACTTGAGTTCTAGTCCCAACCTTGCTATTAACTGCAGACCTTGGGAAGGTCCCTTCACTTCTCTGTGCCTGTTTCTTTACCTGAAATAGCCAGACTGTATGATCTCTAAAATCTCCATTCTTATTCTGTTTATAAAGGGACTATCAGCTCTAAACATCTAGGATTTAGTAACAATGGCCAGAGCTCTGACAACAGAGAATATTAGGGGAAATGTCCAACAGTTAAGTCCATAAAGGAAATTAATTCTGCAAGGCACACTTTTAGGCACAGAAATATTCTAGAGAATACAAAGCTAACAACAGGCTAAAATACCACAAAGAGACACAGAATCCACTGACTATTCCAAAGTAGGCAGAAACAGTTTATACCTTCTCCTTTGAGGAACAAGTTTAGCCAGACAGATT